ACTTGGTAGCGTACCCCCCCCCCCCCCCATGGACAAGCAGCCCACCATCACTGCCATCACCACCTCCTCCACTGGTTACGTGGCTTGCATGCCCTCCTCTTACAGCTTCAGCAGCCAAGCGCGCAGCCGCCTCCTTCCATGGCAGCACCGGTATCTCCCACATGGACCAGTTCATGTCCTTGCCGCCTCGGAGGTCCCACAACACGCACCCATCCAGAGTTGCCTTGAACACCTTTGTGCCCATCATCTCCATCTTCATCCATGCCTCACTCAATGCCTTGGTAGAGAGAAGGTTGGCACATAGTCCAGGGACAAGAAGAACACGCTTCAGCCTCACAAGCCTCTTATCCGCACCCATAAACATGGCTCTCCCCTCGCCACGCACGGGTACAACTTGGCCGGTGGCTGAAACGACGGTGGCTTCCTTTGATGGCATGACTTCATCCAGCAAATCCTCTCGGTTGGTCATGGTCATGAAGGCTCCCATGTCGATGATCCAATGGGAGGAGCGTTGAAGAGCAACCTTGCTGGCCGGTACAACCATGTCATCGGAGCATGCCCCTCCTACATGGTAGAACATGCCGCCATGTCCGCCAGCACCTCCATCGCCCTCCTCACTGCCCATGCCTTCTCCCATAGCTCCATGAACACCCTTAGAGCCTTCAATTGATGGCTGACCAGGCCTCCAACCATCAGGTAGCTTGCGACACTTAAACCACGGGTGACCTTCCACATGGCAATACCAACACTTGCCGCCACACCGCTTGCCTCCCTTGTTGCCACGCTTCCCTCCCGAATACTGCTCCCCTCCAGAGCCTTCCTTGGCCTTGCCTTTCTTGGTGCCACGCCCCTTGAAGCCTTTCATGCCGTAGGCAGGGCCTCCACGTTCAACAGCAGTGGCAGTCAGCTCCTTCCTCCGAAACTCCTCTTGAAGGACTTGAGCACGGATCCACTCAAGGGACCATGAGTCCTTCATGCCATTGAGGTTGACCACCAAGGGGCCCCACGACTCCGGCAGCAGGGAGAGAGCCTTGTAGCACTTGATCTTCTCAGGGTAGTCCACACCAGCAGCAGGGAGCTTCACATAGAGGTCCCGGAGTTGATCGAACGCTCCTTGCATGTCATCACCCTCGTTGATCTTCACCGCATGGAGTTGTCGCTCAAGCACCACCACCATCGCTTCGCTGCTGGGGCCATGGACATCCTTCAATATTTTCCATGCCTTGGGACCACACTGGATATCCTTGATGAGATGCTTGACATGGTGCAACTGGTTGGATGAGAGGCATTGAGAGAGAAGGAAGAATCCATCCTTGGATCGGCAATCCCATTCCTTGGTTGCTCCTTCGCTCGCAGGCCTCTTCAATTCTCCATCCATCACTTCAAGCAACCCATAATGGTTAAATAGGAGCTCCATACTGAAGCTCCATGATGCCCAATCCTCCCCAGAGAACTTCTCCACGTTGAGTGCCTTTACATCATCCTTGGCTGGTGTTGAAATGGATGCTATTGGTGCAGATCCGCCTGCAACGCCACTTCCTGCTTCCCCAGCGCCTCTCACGCCACCACTGCCACTAGGACCAGCTGGAGCAGAACCTTCAGCCTCCATATTGACCCAGGAACAGAGAAGAACCGCTCTGATACCACTTGTTATAGTCTAGAGTCCACTTAGGGGTCGCGGATGCCCATGAAATCGCCTAAGCAGAATCTGATGACTTCGAACCGCCTCTGTTCAAAACGCCGGCTGAAACTTGGACAGAAGTTAGCTTCACGTGTCTGCTTTCCAACGGTATATTTCTTGCTATCATCAGAGGTGTATGCGTTACGCAGTGAACGAAAACGTAAGTTCGGCTGAAAACGTGTAGTTTCATTGATGCAAGGAAGAGGTGAGTACAACATTGCCTAGTGGACTCTTAAGGGGTTGGGACCATCCTGGGAACTCAGAGAAGGTTGATTCCTAGGGGAGAAAGGATAGAGAAGGATGGGAAACGTCCTAGCTAGGTCAGCAAAGCCAACCACACTTGGATGTTAAGAGTTGTACTCAATGCTACCAATAGTGAGTCAAGCCAACCATGAGTCAGCTTGTCTTCCCACTTGCACCCTCTTGCAAGCTGCTTCCAAGAAGACCACACTTCTCAAAAAGAGGGTGGTAGAGTCCCACTTGACCACCTGTAATTCTTGTCTCATTCTCTGTCTCTGCACCATTGGCATGACAACAATGAAAGGGTGGCAAGGGAAATGCTGCCAACAGTGCACCATGACTACGGAACAGTAACTTTCGACAGCTATCACGTGCTGCTCCAATGCTGGGTTGTCTTGAAACTCGTTGACCACCTGAAAAACAGAGCAAAGGATTGCCACACTGATTTTCAGACCAATAAGAGCTTCGGAGATGAGTCAGCAGCCGAAATGGTGAACTCAGGTGTTACCAAAAAAGAGTAACACACACTTCCGGGATGCTATAAGTCTTGAAACTAAAAATGTTGCCATGCCTTGTAAACTGTTTAAAAAAATCTGAAACTTTGAGGGTATGAAGAACAAATGTTGAAGCACCTCCCCACAAAATTCCACGAGCTGAGCAGGCTTGCACGCTGAATGGGAGTGCGATGACCGTGCCACTATAGTGTTTTGGCACAACAGAACGCCCACGTTGGGTGAACATCATGAAGAAACGGTGGGTGTTGACGACCAAGTACCGCATCGACGACACTGCCAAGCGCGAGAAGGCAAGGCTGGTCGTGAAGGGCTTCACGCATGTGTACGGCGCCGACTACGACGAGACGTACTCGCTAGTGAGTAGCCGAGGATCTTCCTCAGCATCGTTGCCGTCCTCAACCCCAACCTGATGCAGCTCGACATGAAGAATGCTTTCCTGCATAGCAAGCTCGACCGGGTGCTGTACATGTACCAGCCGGACTACTTCAACGATAGGACCGGCCGGGTGTGTAAGCTGCTGAAGAGCCTCTACGGACTGAAGCAGTCACCGCTGCTGTGGTACAGGGCTCTCGACGGTGTGCTGCTGGGCGCTGGCTGGAAGAAGAGTCAGGTCGACGCGGCGCTCTACTTCAAGGCCGGCGACGACGGAATGACCTGCTGGGTGGTGGTGTACATCGACGATCTGCTCGCCGCTAGCAGTAGCACCGCAATGCTGAAGGAGCTTCTGCAGGCCGCCTTCTAGCTGCTGGAGATCGCCGGTCGTGAAGTATTTCGGGCTGGAGATTATGCGCGACAGGCCGGCGAGGAAGCTGTGGCTGCACCAGCAAAACTACGCCGACAAGCTGCGCAGGTGCTTCATCGACGAGGAGCAGGGCGGTCGAGTCCCAAAGACGCCGGTCTCGGTCGACGCCTACGCCGAGCTGACATTCGAGGGCACATGGGAGCTGGTCGAACGCCCACGTGGGGTGAACATCATGAAGAACCGGTGGGTGTTGACGACCAAGTACCGCATCGACGACACCGTCGAGCGCGAGATGGCAAGGCTGGTCGTGAATGGCTTCACGCAGGTGTACGGCGCCGACTACGACAAGATGTACTCACCAGTAAGCAGCTACGTCACGCTGAAGGATCTTCCTCAGAATCGTCGACATCCTCGACCTCAACCTGATGCAGCTCGACATGAAGAATGCGTTCCTGCAGAGCAAGCTCGACTAGGTGCTGTACATGTACCAGCCAGACTACTTCGTCGATGGGACCGGCCGGGTGTGTAAGGTGCTGAAGTGCCTCTACGGGCTGACGCATTCGCCGCAGCTGTGGTACAGGGCTCTCGACGGTCTGCTGCTGGGCGCTGGCTGGAAGAAGAGCTAGGTTGACATTGCGCTCTACTTCAAGGCCGGCGACGACGGAGTGACCTGCTGGGTGTTGGTCTACGTCGACGACCTGCTCGCCGCTAGTAGCAGCATCGCAATTCTGAAGGAGCTGAAGGATCTGCTGGAGGCCGCCTTCGAGCTGCGGGAGATCTCGCCGGTCGTGAAGTATCTCGGGCTGGAGATCATGCGCGACAGGCCGGCGAGGAAGCTGTGGCTGCACAAGCAGAACTACACCGACAAGCTGCTCAGGCGGTTCATCGACGAGGAGCAGGGCAGTCGAGTCCCAAAGACGCCGGTCTCGGTCTATGCCTACGCCGAGCTGACATTCGACAACGAGGAGGCGCAGGAGCGCGAGGAGGAGTACCGAGAGAAGGTTGGTTCGCTGCAATTTGCGGCGACGACGACGAGGCTGGATATCGCGTTCGCCTGCAGCAAGCTGGGGAGCGGCCTCACGGTAAGGAGCGACCAGCATTGGCGCGAGGTCGACCGCTGCCTCACCTACCTTGCTGGAGCTGATCAGCTGACAACGTGGTGCTTCTTCCGAGCCTCCCTCTTTGCCCTACCTTGAGTCCGTTTTCCGAGCGCGCTCTCTTCCTCCTGCTTGCCGCTTCTCATCCCGCTTGCCAACAGTACAAAACCAGCTTCTGAAAGCCATTTCTTTCTAGTCCTTCGCTTATCTCACACATCCCAAGTGCCTTCGACATCGCTCTTCTGCTTCTCTGCCGTGACCATCTCACGCAGGTCTAAAATAGCCTTGCAGATTCTTACAACTCTCATCCGTTTGAAGCAGTGTGGGCTTCGTTACTTACTGGATGTAGGTATCAATCGCTTATGTACACTCCTCTCGCCATGGACATCTCGATGCCTAAGCCGTCGAATTACACCGCTTTCTCATGCAGGTCGTTGGCCAACGTAGGCCGATCCAAAGCGCCCGAACACGAGAGCAACTTAGAAGGTAAAAGTCGAGACGGCCCGACCCATAGTTTCAGCAGATTTCTCAAACTTAGGAGAATAACACCAGCCTTGGCCTTCGAGCGCCCTTCCCTACCTCGATCTTCTCCCGCCGCTCAAGACAACCGTCGTGCCAAGTAGACGCGAGAGCGAGTTAGGATTAGCACGCGAGTGCCAAGCGTTTCCCGCGCGTGTGTCGTGCTGGCAGGTCTCGTCACGGCGTCGTGGTACGCGCCGTCCAAGATGTCCTCCGCGCCAACCCACCCCATGCCGCTCCGCGTCGCCCTCGTCGCCTCGTCCGACGCCTCCGATTTGTCCGTCGCTCCGACGCTCTCCGTCTCCGGCGGCGACAATGCTGCTGTCGTTGCGAAACCGTCGCCGACCGCTGCAGTTAACGCGCTCCCCGCTGCCCGAGGCGTTTCTAGCAGAGCTGTTGCTCTGCGCGCGGTTCCGCGGGCGGTGGTGGTGAGCGCGTACGACGGCGTCCTGGACTCCGAACTGTTCGAGACTGCCGGCGAGTTGGGGCGCGGCGGGTTTGGCACGGTGGTACCACCGTGCCATGTGGCGATGCGGCGGGTGGAGAGCGGGGAAGTGGTACCACCGCGCGGCGAAGCGCGTGGCGCGCAAGCAGATGGTGGCGGCGGCGAACGAGGCGATGGTGGCAGTTCCGCTGAGCGAGTGCCCGGGCGTGCTGGGCTTGCGCGAGGTGCATCTGGCCGACCACCACGCGTACCTGCTCTCCGACATCTGCTCTGGCGGCGACCTCCGTGCCCTCCTTCAGCGACGCGCCGCCGCCTCCGCAACTGCGCCCGCGGAGAAAGGCAAGGGGAGGCGGTGGTGGGGGAAGGCGAGCGGCGAAGGCGGGCGGGGAGGGGGAATGGCGGAGGCGGAGGCGCTGGAAGTGGTGAAGCACGTGGGCGACGCCGTGGCGTTCTGCCATGAGCGAGGCGTGGTGCACTGCGACATCAAGCGCGACAACATCCTCTTCGCCTTGCCCCTCTCCAACATGGACCCCCCGCCTTGCCAACCCACCGCTAGCCCCGCTGCGCCTGCAACCCCCTCTCCTGTTGCCCGCGTCTGCAAGTCGCCCGTCTCCTTGGCGCGCGCCTCCTCCCGGCTGGCGGCGGGGGCAGTGCAGCTGGCGGACTTTGGGTTGGCGCAGGTGGTGACGGAGGGGCAGCGCGCGTCCAGCACTCCCGCAGGCACACCCGGGTACATGGCGCCTGAGGTGGAGGCCCTCTGCCGCCCTCGCTGCCCGCCCGCCCCTGGCGCGGCGAAGCAGGGAAGAGGAGCAGCGGCGAGAGCAGCAGGGGGAGAGGCGGAGGCTGGCGGGTATGGGCGGGCAGTGGACCTGTGGTCGCTGGGGGTGACGCTGTTCGAGATTATCGCAGGCGAGCGGCCGTACGCAGGGGAGGCGCCTCAACAGGGCGAGTGGCGCGCACGCATGGAGGGGGCAGCGTGGGAGGGCGTGTCGGAGGAGTGCCGCGCGCTGGTGAGCGGCATGCTGAGAGTGCGCGCGGAGGAGAGGCTCACCATGGCGCACGTGTGCCACCACCCCGCCATGATCCGCGCCTTCGGGGGCAGCGGGACGCGCTGCAGGGCAGGATGGTGGTGAGTGTGATGCGTGTAGGAGGAGGCAGCATTGGGGAGGGTGGAGGGCAGTGCTGAGCAGGAGGGGAAATGCAGGTGGCTTGGCGTGGTGGTGTGTGAAGGCAATGGAGAGTGGGATGGCACGGTGGAGCACCACTTTTTGCACCCTGCCTGTCAGGGTGTTTGGGATGCCGGGTGGATTCGGTGGATGGAAGGGGATGGGTGCATGTCACCTTGCTGCATTGTTTCCTGCTCGCTCACGCTTGCTCTCTCTGCTCTTTCAAGGCTTGGGGCTGGTGTGCATGAGGCTGCTGATGCTCGCACACGTTAACTAGGATTTAGCTCGATTTCTAGGTGCATATGTTTAGCTCGATCAATGCAATGTGATATGATATGTTCAAATTGGTGCAGTGAAGTGGGATTTGTTCCTTTAAGAGTCTGACATATGAATGCAGCAATGCAACGGAGTGAAAGAACATGTACCGTAATCTCCCGAACAGTACGGTAGACCCTAGGGTCTTATGTAAAATTCATAAAAATAAAGGGGGGGGTCTTGTCAACGGCACAAGATTGTATAGTACCCGGGTCTTATTAAAGTGATATTATTTTTAAAGGTGTAATTGAATGGCTCATTGATGAGGATGCTTGACTCTTTTTTTTTCCCTGTTGTTTGGGCCGCACATGTGCGGCTTCTTGCGATGTAGCCACATCACACAGGGAAATCAGAGTGTGGCCTTCTCATTGGCCGAAATTGCACGTTACCACATTCCAGCCTTGCAATATGAGTTTCGTGGCTCGTCATCGTTCATCCCACCTCGACAGTGTGACACATGCATGGCTCGAGAACAGGGGCTGCACAATGGCCCCTAGAGCAACCGTCAATCCCACACATATCACAGTCCTCCTCTGCATGTTTCTTCATCCCCGCACGACACTGATTTTTGCTCGGCAGAGTGGTGCGCTTAGGGCCTGTAGCTCTGAGATGGTCGTCTTAAGATGGCTGGAGGAAGTACTTAGAGCACTAGCTAGAGGTGTAAGGTATCGTTCACGATGGTGACGTCTCCAGATTCAGGGATGTCACACGCAAGGCGCCCTCGTCCCACTAACGCACATCAAGCATCACAAGGTAGAGTTTCACCCCGGCCCGTTTTGCCAACGACTTCATCCTCCTCCAGCGATCCTAGCGACTGTTCCCATGGCGTCCGCCGACCGCCGCTTCCTAGAGTCGTGATCCCTACTTTTCTGGAGTCTAGTCGGCCACAAGGCATGAAACAAAGAATTCTAGATGCCGCACCCCCTTCGCCTCGTCATAGGATGACGAAACGGTCCCATAACGCTTTTACCGCTAAGGAGAAACTGCACTGGCTGTCCATGTTGGAGTCACAGCCAGACCTCAGCATCTGAGGCTTGGCGAAGCTCGCCAACGTGCAGCCTAAGCAAATCCGCGAGTGGAGGCGACTCAAGGAGCGTCCCGAGGTCGCCGCTGGTTGTCGCCGACGTCTTAACGGTGGAGGGCGTAGGGCGAAGTGGCCCCTGATGAAGAGGGCGGTTTACCGCCAATTCTTGGCGCACCGTGCCAAAAGATTGGCGGTGTTGGTGAGCCTCTTGCGCAAATGCGCATCTCAGTACATGAGGCACCGTCAGCCTACCGCCGATTTTCGAGCATCGGCACGTTGGACCTTTCGCTACCGTGTGCGATGGTCCTTGGCGCAACGCGTGAAGACAAAGATGGGGCAGAAACTAGCCGCCGGTAAGCAATCTGCATGTCATTCCCCCCTGCCGTAATTGTTTAGGTAAAATATGTATCTAACGCATGTGTCGTGTTGTGTGTTTAACAGATTGCAAGGGGAAGGTGGAGTCCTTCTGGGAGTTCGTTCGCCAGATGCGCATGGTTCATCGGTTTCCCCTAAACCTCATCGTGAACGCCGACCAGACCCCGCTCTGGTTGGAGATGCTAGCAGAACGCACCTTTGAAATGAAAGGCGCACGCATGGTACATGTCAGGACGGCGGGCTACGAGAAGGAGCGCGTCACTGTCATGTTGGCAGTGACGGCCGACGGCCTGAAGCTTCCCCCGTACGTCATCTTCAAGCGGAAGACGGTGCCACGTATCGTGGTGCCACCAGGTGAGCCGGATGTCTTGTTGTCGTTGATTCCGTGTGTTGATAATGTTTTTCCGTTACTGATTTATGGATGTGGCGTGTGCAGGTATCGTCATCCGCGGACAAGAGAAGGGCTGGATGGACGAGCGCCTTGTCCAGGATTGGACAACACAGATGCTCGTCCCCTTCTTGAAGCTGCTGCGGGACGAGGGCGGACGGCGCAAGCAAGCGCTCCTTGTCTTCGACTCGTACAAGGGGCACCTGACGGAATCCGTGGGGCAAACACTGAAGATGTTTAAGGTGACGCGTGCCGTCATCCCGGGCGGTTGCACCCCCCTGGTGCAACCACTTGACGTCTCCATCAACCGCATTTTCAAGTGCGGTGTGCGCCACCGCTACAGCACGTGGTTTGAGGAGGTCGGGATTGGCCAAACGACACGTGCAGGTGAGTCCTTGTCGCTTTGTGTGCTTTCATATGACAAGGCAGCATTAAATAAACTGCCGTAACATCTCTACCGATTGTTCTCGTGAACTGCAGGGAACTTGAAGAAGCCCCCCCCATGAAGTGATCCTGAAGTGGATCGTCGAGTCATGGGCTGATGTGCCAGAGGAGCTGGTGAAGAAATCATTCCTCACCTGCGGCATCTCCAGTGCAGAAGACGAGAGCGAGGATCATCTGATCATCGCTCACCTGCGGGACAAGGCGGAAGTGGAGGTGCTGGAGAATGTGCTGGAGGAGGAGGATGATGAGCACCCCAACCCGTTCTACGAAGACCCCTCGCACGCCCCTGAGCCCCCCGCCACCAAGGACGACGAGGCAGAGGACGAGGAGGAAGGGCTTGCAGGGGATGAGGATGTGGTGGGTGCCGCTGCCGAGGAAGGGGATGGGATGGATCCGGACGAGGAGGGGGGTGAGGCAGATGCAGAGATGGGAGGTGCGGATGAGTGGAGCGAGGATGGAGACGACTGGTGGGCAGCAGGCCGCTATGAGGGAGAGGAAGTGGAGGAGTGGGTTGCGGGCGAGGATGATTGACTATTTTGATGTGTTTCTCAACCCATGTTGCCCTTGGTGTCAAACTTGCTAACCATGAATACGTTGCATTGGTGTCATGCGTGTCTTGCTAGTGAACCACTTGAAAAGGCATCTTATTTCCATTAAAAACGCGTGTCAACCACAGAGGGGGGGTCTAGTAATGTTTACCCCTCTAGGGGGGGGTATAGTGAAAACCTGCCAAAATAAAAGACCCACCCCCATAATACAGACCCGAGGGTCTTGTATTCCGGGGGGTCTACTATCCGGGAGCTTACGGTAGGTAATGATCACAGAAACCCAGTGCAGTGAACATGCATGGAACACAGAGTGACATTTGCAAGTCACTCTAATGTCCAATTTTTAGCCACCACACAATAAAGTAGCACGCTGCTGAATCGCCTCCACGATGCCTGGCGGACAACCTGCCTACGGCCGTGGGTGCAAGAGCGTGTGTGCTATCGTGTGCGACTACCGTAGCTTGCACCACCTGGGCACCAGGTTGCCATTGCATGGTCTTGTACCGTACATGCTTTGGCATCCAGATGCGTGCTGTGCTGTCCCATTCCAATTGGTCAAACATGCTATCAAGAAGGACCTGGGCGCTATCAATGACTGGTACCGGTAATAATTCTCACCCCATTTACAGGGTTACATAGAGCGGATTACGTTCTGGTATAAACACAAACATCACTGCTTGAATGACACTATCTCAAGTTCTGTACAACCTCCAGCAGCATAGCCATGACAGCTGAGTGCTGCCGCAGGTGCGGGAGGAGGAGTGCCAGCAGCAGCGGCAGCGGGAAGGGCGGGGAGAGTGGTGCAGGAGTGGAAGCGGCAGAGGCAGGTGGGGAGCACGAGGTCATAGCCGTGTGCAGGGCGCGGCCCAGTGAGAGTGGAGAGGGGAAGGCGAATGCAAGGAGGAAGAGCGGGAAGAGTTGAATGCCTGGTTGCTCCTGCGTGGTATGTGCCAATGGCCTGCTCATGCTGCCTGACGCTTCTGCTGCTGCTGCCCCCGCCAAGTCTGATGCCTGCTGCTCCTGTGGCTGCCACAGGAGCAGGGCCCAGCGCGAGTAGTCTTCCAGGTGTTGGCGCAGGAGGGGCGAGGTTGAGAGAGAGCGGGTGCGGTGAGCGGGTGCAAGCAGGTGACGGTGGAGGGTGGAGCAGAGGGAGCGGAGAAACAGCGGGCTCACGATGGGTGATTGGGGAGAGCTGGCGCGGTGGGAAAGGGTGGGCGAGGAGAGTGCACAGAGCGATGGAATGAAGGCTTCCACCACCTGGGGTGATGTAATCAGGGCGAGTTGTGGGAAGGTGGGGGGGGGGGGGGGGGGGCAGGCATGGGTGGATTGGAGGAGAACAACTCGTAACTTTTCAAACGGGCCCAGACAGTTCAGACGGGGAGAAGAAGTGAAGCGTGATGGGGAGAAGCGTGGGACGGAAAGGAGTGTCCTTGAGGTAAAAGCACAAGGCAACGCACGCTCGGAGCCCGTGCCTGGGCCTTGAAACCTGAGAAACGACCAGAGCCCACGTGCTGCCATACGCCACTGTTATGCTGCCTTTGGTCCAATCCCATCGAGGCTACCCCTCAGGGTGCCTGATGTGCCAGTGATGCCACAACTCGCCCCTTGACCCTCGGCTTTGCAAGGCTGTGTGGAGGGAAATGAAGTGGCGGCTGAGAGGCAGGGCTGGTGAAGGAGGTCACCTGGAAGGAGGAGACGAGGCAGGGCAGTGCGGAGCCACAGGTGGTGTGTGCGTGAGGCAGTGAGCGCACGGCATGGCAGGTGGTGGCGAGAGAGAGGAGAACCTGCAAAAGGAGATGGGGGTAGAGAGAGGGCACGTGGGAGAGTGGATGGACTCGGAAGCGATCACGTAACAACGATGGCTATGGATGTTGTAGAAGAAGAGCCCACGAACATTTGGTCACGGATAGGGCGGGGAATCTGATTTGAGTGAATCCAAGCACACACAAGGTGTAGTGTGCTGCGGTGCAGTGTGGTGTGCTGTTGTATGGTGTGGTGTGGCGTGCTCACCTCCAGCAGCTCCGGCTGCTCCGCTGCGTGCGCCATGAGCAGCGCTGCCTGGCAAGCCGATGAGAAACCCTCATGGCTGCATGTGGATGGGGGAGGGAGGGAGCAGTGTGACCAAAGGCCGGTGGGCGGAAGTGTTAGAATCAGCCCCATCATGTATCATACACACACTTGATGGGACTTGGTTAGCTATTAACATCTGGAATCATCTTGGGTGTATAGCTAGTAATTATCCTAAATTCAAGGGTTGGGTCAAACCTAGGCTCCGACATTGTGCCCCAAAATGGTTGGGTTCACAGTAATTTGAGGCCCAATAATCTTGGGGACCTAGATGATTGGGCGCCTCAATTATTGTGGACCCCAACTTGTTGCGGGGACCAATGATTGAGCCACGGCCATTGCCCAACTCCTTTCCATCTCCTCACCTATGTATACCCCCATTTTTCTTGATCAACCTATCATTCAGTTTTCTCACAAGAAGTAGGACATATGGACGTGTATGAAGAGCAAACTGGCAGAGAGCAGAGAGAGGCTGTGAATATGAGTGATGGATGGAGGCGTGGTGTGAGGAGAGAGGAGTGGCAGCGTGGTGGAGCGGAAAAGAACTAGGGGTGCAGCGGGTGCGGGGAAGGAGAGAAACTGCCCACCTTGAGGTTGCGTGCGGTTGAACAGCGGAGCGCGGCAGGGGGCAGCAGAAGAGGCGGTTGAAGGCGGAGAGGACGGGGTCGGCCACTGGCAGGGCGGCTGCCATGCTCCGTGCTGAGACGGGCGGCAACTGGCCGAGCGAGGCCGAGGGGAATGTGTGGAGGGACGTGTGTGAGATGACGGGTGTGAGGTTGGGTGAAAGAGACAGGGGGGGGAAAGAGGTGGGTGTGCAGAGTGTATAGGGGTGCGTGGTCATGGAAGGTAGGAGGGGCATGGAGAATAAGTGAAGGAAAGGGGAGTATGCAGGAGGGAGGGGATGGAGGGAGAGATGGCCAGGGATGCACGGGATGGAAAAGGGTGGGGAAAGAAGGGGGAAGGGATGATGGGGGAGTGGGGGAAAGGAAGGATTGAGAGGGAACTGCAGAATGAGAGAAAGCGGGAGGCAATGAGAAGGTGATGAAAGCAGTTGCCAATGCATGGAAGACAGCACTAGCTGGATGCAAGAGGCCATGGCTGTGTTGCGGGAGTGAAGATTGCAAGTCTCAAGTGCTGTAATGAATGGGAAAGGGGGGAAGGGGCAGTGAGGGGGGCAGGGAGCATGCAACCGCACATGAGCGCTCACCTCCTCCCCCATGCGGGACCTGGGGTCTCCCATCTCGTCCACTGCTGCAGCACCCCCACCGCTGCCAGCCTGTGCCCCCCGCCCCTTCACCAGCAGCACCAGGTGCTGGCCCCCACTGCCCTCCCCACCTACACCCACTCCCATTGCGCTCCCCACCGCCTTCCGCCCCCCACCCCCCACTGCAGCGACTACACCATGCCCCCCTCGCCGCCTCCCCCTCATGGCTCGCAGGGGCGGGCGGGAAGGGTCTGCAGTGGGGGAGGAGAGGAGAGCAGAACGGAGCAGCGGAGGGAGTACAGTCATTAATGGAGTACAGTCATTAATGGAGTACAGTCATGAATGGAGTACAGTCATTAATGGAGGTCAGAAGTGAGTGTACGTTTTAGGGAAGAGAGGAGAATAGAGAAGGAAGCTAGAAGGGAAAAAAATAATCAGAACTGGGCAGAAGTGAGGATGATGGGAGCACAAGAGAATTGGAAAAAGAGAGGAAGGAGCAAAGATGGCAAAGGGAAAACACTGATGAGGAATGGCACATAGAGGGGAGATACAATACAGGGACGCACACGCACTTGGTACGTACGACACACCTCACTCGCACCATGCCACATGGCATTTCCCATGCAACCACGCAAGCCACCCACATGCATGCCACATACATGCTCCGTGCATGCCGCACATGCACGCCCCATGCACGCCACATGCACGCCAAATGCATGCCCCCATGCTGCCTGCCACACCACATGCATGCCCCATGCACACCACATGGGCACAGACCTGCTATCCTCGCTGCCACTCGCAGCGGCCAGAAGTTGCGGCCACACAGCCGCAGCTCCCTCAGCTGATGGGAGTGGGGGAACGGGGAGGGAAGGATGGGGAGGAGAGAGAGGGAGGCAGAACGTGAGGCGGTGGGTGGGGGCGGCAGGGAGAGGGAAGGATGGGGTGACAGCAGGCAGCAGAAGAGGCATGGCAGCGTAGCATAGTGAGTTAGTTGGATGGCATGTGTACATCCCATGTGTGCTTGCTTCCCAGTGCTGCCTTTCTTCAACAACTGAGGCAAGAGCAGCACCTGAAGCCAGTGGAGAGATCAAATGATACAAATGGAGAGAGCACCTGCGGCAGCGGCGGCAGTAGGCACGGCGTGTGCAGCGACAGCGCGGTTGGAGTGGACGAGTCAGAGGGTTTGAGGGTGAGGTGCAGTGGAGCAATCACAGGCTGCCACGTGTCCACATCCACAGCCTCCACAAACGCCCTCTCCTCCACCGCCAGCACCCAGAAGTGCCGCAACGCCTAACAAGGGGGGGGTGTGGGAAGAGGGGAGGGGGGAAGGGGGAGGAGGACGAGAGGGGGAGGAGGACAAGATGGGTGAGGGGAGAGGAAGGCAGACAGGTGTGAGAGAGGAAGAAGGGAAAGCATTGTTAGCAATGTACCTTATGTTTTAATTTGACTCTTTCATTCTCAAGTCTCCCTATTCCGGGGGCTAAGAGGTGAGAGCTCCAACCCTAACAGCAAGTCAGGTCATAAGACTGGCAGGGCACTTGGTGCACCCAGAAAATTTCAAGTGACAGCAGCTGAGCCAATTACAAATAGCATCCTCCCTATCTCCTTGTTTTCTCTTTATGAATTGGCAATCCCCTCCCCCCTAGTGCCCTTGTTTTGTGGCAAAACGAATGCCCCATGCCCCCTTGCTCCCCCCCTGCTCACCCCCCCCTCGTTTCCTTCTTTCGCTCTTCTCTTGTCCTCCTCAACTCCCCAAGCTCTTTTCACAGCCGGCTGTCGCCTCTCCTTCCACCCACACCACACAACTGCCGCACGGCACAGCAAAGAGCAGCTTACCTGCAGGTGGCAGCGGTGGTCGGAGGGCGAGGAGGGAAAGTGCGGGAAGAGCGCGAGCAGCAGCGCCGCCACAGCAGGGGGCGACGTGGAGAAGGTGGCCTGGCAGGCACTCAGGCCCAGGAAACCGATCGCCATGCTCACCTAGAAAAAGGGAAGGGGGGGGGAGGGGAGGGGAGGGGTTTATGGAGATGTCTCAAAAGGTGCCATGGAGAAGGTGGCCTGGCAGGCGCTAAGGCCCAGGAAGCCGATCGCCATGCTCACTTGGGGAGGAGAGGGGGAGGTGGAGTTACAATTGGAGGTGCAATGCAGCATACCGCCATGCAGCATACAGCCATGCAGCATACAGCCATGCAGCATACCGCCATGCAGCATACAGCCATGCAGCATACAGCCATGCAGCATACCGCCATGCAGCATACAGCCATGCAGCATACAGCCATGCAGCATACAGCCATGCAGCATACCGCCATGCAGCATACAGCCATGCAGCATACCGCCATGCAGCATACAGCCATGCAGCATACAGCCATGCAGCATACCGCCATGCAGCATACAGCCATGCAGCATACAGCCATGCAGCATACAGCCATGCAGCATACCGCCATGCAGCATACCGCCATGCAGCATACAGCCATGCAGCATACAGCCATGCAGCATACAGCCATGCAGTATACAGCCATGCAGCATACAGCCATGCAGCATACAGCCATGCAGCATACAGCCATGCAGCATACAGCCATGCAGCATACCGCCATGCAGCATACAGCCATGCAGCATACAGCCATGCAGCATACCGCCATGCAGCATACAGCCATGCAGCATACCGCCATGTGTGAGCCATAGGTGGTGGCGGCGTTGACAGCAGCGTCATCGGCAGCAGCAGCGGTGCGACGGTGGAAGAATCGTAACAAACGCAGCGAAGGCAGATGGCCCGTGCCTGCCATGACCTGGTGGGACGGGGAGAAAAGGGGAGGAGTTGAGTGGGAGGTGAGGGAAGTGGTTACAAACAGAGAAGGAAGAAAAGAATAGGAGAAGAATACATGGAGAAATGGCAGGAGCAAGAGCGTGTTGTGAGAAGGAAGGTTGGGCTGGGGAGAACAGCTAGGCGTAGGAGGCCAAGGGAGAGCATAATGAACGAAGGAGGGCAGAGCGAAGGAGAGGTAGTAGAGCATACGAGGGAGAGGGAGAGCACGGCAGCGTTGACAGCGGTGTCGAGGGTGCGCGCATCCAGCAGCGCCCGCCAGTGCAGCAGAGGCACGGCAAACGGGCAGGCCACGGCCGTGAGAGGACGGCGCTGCAGTGAGAGGGAGATGGGAAGGGAAGGGAAGAGCAGAGAGTGAATGCGCCACAGGAGAGAATGCTTGTCTGAGTCACATAATGTAAAATATCCATATTGGCACCACCTTCTCTGCCTACGGCCGCCCGCCTCCCTCCCTCCACTGCCCTCCTCCCAAGCGCCACCAACCTCTCTGTGTGCTTCTCACCTCGCGGAGGAAGAAGAAGAGTAGCGCATAGCGCCGGAGAAGGTTCTCCGCCTCGCCATTGGCTGAACCCGCATAGCGCAGCCCTGAGGGGCGCACAGAGGCAGGGAGACAGATGGGGGTCAGAAAGAAATAGCCAAGGACGGAAGCGGATGGAGTGAAGTCAAATGGGAAAGCAGAAGGATGGGAGCGAGGATATGACAGTGGGAGGGCATGCACTGGTGGATGGAGGGGGGTGTGAGGGTGAAGCGGCACATGCTGATGCCCTGCGCTGCGCGCTTTGAATCCAACTGTCCATACCTTCTCTATCCCCACACTCTTCCTGCCTCACTAGACTCAGCCCGCCCAGCTGCCAGGCACCCAGGGCAATGGCATGGGTCAACTCACCGAGCGCCAGGCAGCACCCCGCCAGCAAGTTGCAGAGCGCCAGAGCCATCGCCTCCTCATCCACATCCGCCTTCCCCTCCCCTCCCCCCTTGCCTCCCCGCTTCCTCACGCCCCGCCCTTCCTCATCCTCCCCCTCACTCCCCCCTTCGCCCCTTCCCCCGGTGGCGGCCACAGCGGCACGGATGATGCCCGGCACCTGTGCTGCCACCCACTCCTCTGACGGCCGCACGCTGCAGTGGAGGGAGGGGAACGGAGGAAAGGAACTCGGTGGGAATGGGATCTAGGGATGTGGGATGGTAGAGGTTGACCGAAGGGGAGGAGGAAAGAAAGGAGGGCCTTTTGGGCAGAAAAGCTAAAAGATTCTTCCCTTTTCCCAACCACTCCTTGACTGAATTGCTCTACTCTACCTATTCCCCATCCCTACCCCCACTAGTCTCATACTTGTACCGATTCCAACCCTTCCACTCCAAACGCATGTCCTTCTGTGATTACACCTGGGTAAAACAACATTCAAAAGCGCCAGCTCTTCCTAGTTCCACCTCGCTAGCGGAGTGAACTCTCTCTTTTCGCTTGAGGCTTGACGATGAGCGCACCTGTCCCAGAGGATGAGCGCACCTGTCCCAGAGGATGAGCGCCCCTGTCCCAGAGGATGAGCGCACCTGTCCCAGAGGATGAGCGCCCCTGTCCCAGAGGATGAGCGCACCTGTCCCAGAGGATGAGCGCACCTGTCCCAGAGGATGAGCGCACCTGTCCCAGAGGATGAGCGCACCTGTCCCAGAGGATGAGCGCACCTGTCCCAGAGGATGAGCGCACCTGTCCCAGAGGATGAGCGCACCTGTCCCAGAGGATGAGCGCACCTGTCCCAGAGGATGAGCGCACCTGTCCCAGAGGATGACCGCACCTGTCCCAGAGGATGACCGCACCTGTCCCAGAGGATGACCGCACCTGTCCCAGAGGATGAGCGCACCTGTCCCAGAGGATGAGCGCACCTGTCCCAGAGGATGAGCGCACCTGTCCCAGAGGATGAGCGCACCTGTCCCAGAGGATGACCGCACCTGTCCCAGAGGATGACCGCACCTGTCCCAGAGGATGACCGCACCTGTCCCAGAGGATGAGCGCACCTGTCCCAGAGGATGACCGCACCTGTCCCAGAGGATGACCGCACCTGTCCCAGAGGATGACCGCACCTGTCCCAGAGGATGACCGCACCTGTCCCAGAGGATGACCGCACCTGTCCCAGAGGATGACCGCACCTGTCCCAGAGGATGACCGCACCTGTCCCAGAGGATGACCGCACCTGTCCCAGAGGATGACCGCACCTGTCCCAGAGGATGAGCGCACCTGTCCCAGAGGATGACCGCACCTGTCCCAGAGGATGAGCGCACCTGTCCCAGAGGATGAGCGCACCTGTCCCAGAGGATGACCGCACCTGTCCCAGAGGATGACCGCACCTGTCCCAGAGGATGACCGCACCTGTCCCAGAGGATGACCGCACCTGTCCCAGAGGATGACCGCACCTGTCCCAGAGGATGACCGCACCTGTCCCAGAGGATGACCGCACCTGTCCCAGAGGATGAGCGCACCTGTCCCAGAGGATGAGCGCACCTGTCCCAGAGGATGAGGGAGCGGGCGAGCACGCGCAGGAGGATGAAGTCGGGGCGCACAAACTCGAGGGCGAAGTGCGTTGAGGGCGGGGCCAGGCGCGCCGCCACCGCCTCGTTGTTCGACTGCCGGGGTGCGGGTCGGTGGGGGGGATGGATGGCCGGCGGGGAGGATGGGTTACAGGGGAAGGGATGTCGGTGGGGGGGGGTTGGGGAGGAAGAAGGAAATCGTACAAGAGGGGAGCAAGCGTACAGAGGGAGCTGCCTTTTGGATGCCTTTAACACTGAATGGAGAAATTTGTTTACAACCGAAGGAGCAGGAGCCCACCTGAAGGTACATCATGGCAAGGGCGAGAATGGCTCCTGGTGCTGTGACATCCACGTTGGGTGTGTTGCCCTCCAGCACCTGTTGGTCCGGTGAAGTGGGGTGGCACCCCATGATGGCGGCACGGGAATGCATGCATAGTTAAAAGGATTTCTTAAGGTAGCTGTCTTGAGTGTAATGCGGGTGAACGAACACCCTGTTCGTGGTAAACCCAATGCCTCGTTCCTAAGTTGGTGCTGGTCGAACCAGAACTTGGCTGAAAGCAGGATCCCACCCCAGCACCCCAACACCCCGCACTGGAACTTGGCACACCAACAGTGTGAGTGGCAGCCGCTTGTTGTGAGTGGCACCCACACCACCAACCAACCGCCTGGCTGATTGTCCTAGGCACTGATGTTCCTCCGGCTTGTGGCTCGCTTGACCTCTGAGGCTGATGCAAACCTTCTAGACTGATCAAGTTCTCTATCAGACGGCATTGACCATGTATGCTGCAAAACTGCACATTGCATGGGGGACATGGCACAACGGAGGTGCGGCAAGCAAACTCACATGGCCGCTGCTGCTGGCACTGGCACCCGGCCACTGCCCCATGCCGCCTGGCTTGCCCCCTGCTGCCCCCCCTTCCCCCCAACTCCACTCCGCCTGCCCTGCTGCTCCCTGCTGCCCCTGCTGCTGTGGCGAGGAAGGGAGACCAAGGGATGAGGGAGAAGGGGGCGAGGAGGTGGTGAGGGAGAGTGGAAGAAGAGAGTATGAAAGCAAGGCCAGCGGGAAAGCTATGGGAAAGGTGAAGAAGAGATGCGGACCAAGGGACTGAGGAGACGAATGAGCAACGGAAGGGAGCAGCGAGGAGCAGAAGGGAGTGAGGAGGAGGGGCATACGGAAGGGTCAAGGGCGGGCGAGAAGTAGCGTTGCAATCGGTCCTCCATCCGCAGGTCCCACAGCCCCCACGCCCTCCCTGCCGTGCCTGTGTGTGTCCAGCCGTGGGTGTTCGAGGCATGTTGAAGGGCGCAGGTGCGAGGGCGCAGGTGCGAGGGCGCAGAAAACCAAAAAGATGGGCGAAGGTGAGGAGACAAGAGTAGATGTGCGCCAGATGATTGAGACAGGCATAGAAACCAGCGAGTGTCTGACTGACTATCCGAGAGTTGAAACGACATATGCATCTCATCCCAAGATCACCCCATGACAGCAGCATACCGAGGGTGACTAGCCCCAGTGCGAGGCCAGCCCCGAGAGAGTACCCCTCCCTCTCCATGCTGCCCTCCCCCTCTGGCTTGCGCCCTATCTCGTCCTGGCATGGCGGGGAGAGGGAGAAGGGAAAGAAAGCGGTGAGAGGGCGAGGGAGATGCGCATGGGGATGAACAGGGTGAAAGGCGAGAGAAGGGGGAGAGAGAGGGAAGTGAACAAGAAGGCTGAGGGTTGAAGGTGGGAGCAGGAGAGAGAGGTGGAGGGTCGAGCTTCCATCAGCACGCGTCCAGCCCATAGTCCACATGCTAGGGAACGACGAACATGCACTAGCGTGGAGCAGTGTGGGGAGATGGAATGGCAATGATAGCAAATGCCGAGAAGTCAGTTTAGGGCATGGCCAGGGCAAATCTTTGCTTGTCCCACGTGAAGGCAGCAGCGCAAGCAAGCGGGGCTCACAAGCAAGATCTCGGTGGTGAGGCGGTGCGCAGACCCCATGTGCAGCAGCCCCACGCCCACCAGCGCTGCCGTCTGCCCCGTGACAGGGCGCAAGAGGGGGAAGGTGCATAGAGCAGGCAGCAAGTGGTGGATGGAGCAAAAAGAGAACGAGCAACGGGGCAGCAGTGGAACATATCTATGAGGGGAAGCAGAGTGAGTACTCAAGGAAGGAGAGAAAAGGTGGAGGGAGAAGGGTCAAAGATTCAGAGGCACATGAAGAAGGGAGAAAAAAATGGTACGTAGATGGTGGGAGAAGAAGAGTGGATGCGAGGGGGGCGATGGATGATGTACCTGAATGCTGGGAGGGAGCTCGAGGTCGGGGAAGGAAGGCGGGTGGCGCGATGGGATGTGCAGATAGAGCATCTGGTGGGGTGCACGGGGGGGAGGAGAGAGGAGCGGAGATTCGTGTCCCAAGCAAGAACATGAGCTGGAATGGACTTAACAGGGTAATAGAAACCAGGGATTATTAAGTACAACAAGTAAGGGTTTGACAAGGATGGACAGGGAATTGGGGCAGTCCCCAATGGGATCGCTGGAGATTCCCAAGGGCTGTTATTACATCTGGGTGAGGTGCGGTTGGGTTATGTGAAACACTTGACCTGAGAAAACTACATCAACACTGAAGAAGTACAAATGCAAGTGTGAGAAGAACGAGACAGCTATGACAACCCTCACGGAGAGAAGAACGAGAAGAGGGGCAAATTTGTGAGGAGGAGTAGTGGAAGGATGAGAAACAGAAAAGATGCGCACGGGCAGTGCACCTTGCAGATGGCATGGCAGACTGCCATTGGCAGTGCTCCCACCTTGCAGATAGTGGCATCCATGGTGGTATGATGCAGCGGCACCCCAATAGGATGACATGACATAACAAGGCATGACGAGAGGACGCTATTGCGAAGAGATGAAGCACCTTCCACGCGGCACGGCAGCACACCACCTCACCTTGCAGATAGTGGCATCCATGGTGGAGCGGCACCTTATGAGGCGCCTCAAGAGTAGCCTCACTCACCTTGCACATGGCATGGCAGCACCCCTCACTCACCTTGCACATGGCATGGCAGCACCCCTCACTCACCTTGCACATGGCATGGCAGCACCCCTCACTCACCTTGCACATGGCATGGCAGCACCCCTCACTCACCTTGCACATGGCATGGCAGCACCCCTCACTCACCTTGCACATGGCATGGCAGCACCCCTCACTCACCTTGCACATGGCATGGCAGCACCCCTCACTCACCTTGCACATGGCATGGCAGCACCCCTCACTCACCTTGCACATGGCATGGCAGCACCCCTCACTCACCTTGCACATGGCATGACAGCACCCCTCACTCACCTTGCACATGGCATGACAACACCCCTCATTCACCTTGCAGATATTGGCATCCATGGTGGCCCGGTATGATGCAGCAGCACCCAGCAGCACGCCCACCGTCGTTGCCTCGTGCTCCTGGGGGTTGTGGGGAAGGGGGGAAGGTGGGGGAAGGGAGGTAGGGTGGGTGGGGGGAAGGGGCTACGAAGTGAGGAGGAGCACTGTGAATCGTGAGGGGTGATGCAAGGCGGAGATGCTACAACACCACGAAACAGGAAAGGGGGGAGGGGAACGCACAAGGGCAGGGAGGGGAGGGGCGGGGGCGAACATACGCAGGGGAGAGAAGAGGAGGGGGACACCGCAGGGCAGAGAGGGGCGGGGGGAGACGACAGGGCAGAGGGGGGGTACACCACCAATTGAACAGGAATGGGGTGCGGGAGCACACACGGACGAGGGCATGAAGGGAAGGGCACGCACGAGGGCAAGGTCATGGAAAAAGTCGGTGGGGGCGAGCACATGTAGGGCAGACGGGGGGGGCGGGGCACACATGGTAGGGCAGGGGGGGGGGGGGTCGCCGAGCACACAGCAGCACAGAGGGGGCACACACGCACCAACAACCGAACAGGAATCGGGGGCTGGGGCATGTACGAGGGCGAGGTCACGGAAGAAGTCGGTGGGGGCGAGCACACGCAGGTGGCCGCGCAGCCCCAGCGCCATGAGCAACCCCCCGTGTGCACTCGAGGCCTCCACTGGCCGGTTGTACACCACCCATGCCCGCGTGACTGTGCCCGGCTGGTGGGGAGAGCAGGGCGGGGACATGGGCGGGTGCGAATGCTAGCAACGCGGATAGGTTGATTGAACAGGTCTGGATTAGGAGAAAAGGATGCGACGTGGTAGGTGGTTGTGCGAGTTGAGACGGGTGTTGGAGGAAAGGGAGCATGGCACCAGGTGAGACGACTCGCAGGGCAACAGCACGGGCACTCCAGCAGGAGAGACGGGGGGAGGGCAGGGTGTACGAGGTCAGGTGAGGTGAATTGAGGTGAGGTGATGTGAGATGAAGTGAGGTGAGGGGACATGAGGTGCAGTGAAGTGACGCGAGGTGAGGTGAAGTGAGGTGAAGTGAGGTGAAGTGAGGTGAAGTGAGGTGAAGTGAGGTGAAGTGAGGTGAAGTGAGGTAACCCACCGGAACACGGGCGAGCTTGAGGCCGGCTGCCACCCCGTTGTGGAACTCCGGCCACGTGGCGAGCTCTGATAGGTTGCCCAGCGAGCCGTCCAGCCCCACCTGGAGCAGCAAGTGAGACACATTGGCAGGTGGGGAGAGTGGTCAAAGGGTATGGTGATAAGCTGCTGCAGCAGGGCAGCAGGCTTCAAGAGGCTATCATGCATGCTCCCTGCCAGGCTTTGATTCAAACAGCTGAGGCACTCAAGTGGATGGAGAAGAGTGTTGAAACGACGAGTGCTGGTGGACACAACAGCAAGCGAGTGAGTGTCTTGACTCCCGAATCCCTGCTCCACCCACCGTGGCATCATTTTGTGCCGTCAAGCGCCCCGCTAGCACCAGCTTGGGGACTGACAGGGCCTGCAGTGGCGAGAGGCAGCAGGCACACAGGTAGATAGGCAGAGAGACAGACAGAGGGGCAGAGTGGCGGATATCAATGTGAAGGAAAGGAGGGAGTGGTTGGAAGCTTGGCCATAATGATTGGTCCCCACCAGTAGATTGGGGTGGATGCATTAGCGGGGTGTTGGTCTAAGCGAACCAGGATATTTGGCCCCTACATAGCTTAACAACCCAACCCAGCCTTTTGGCCCAGATTGGTTAAATTCCCCAACCCAACTAGGGTGAAACCTAGTATGATGTTGGCACATGCCATGCCATGGCATGGCACGGCGAAGATGGACAGGGGAGTGCGCAGAGCGGAAGGGCGAGGTGGGGCAAGGCAAGGGAGCAGGCCTGCCTGAGTGAGGGTAGGTGGGGCTGTGGCGAAGGTGAAGGCAGCCCGCCCCAGCGGTAGCGCCACCGTGCGATGCGCCACCTGCCATAGCTGAGCCTGATGGGGGGGTTGGGGGTGATGGAGGAGGATGCACAGCACAGGGATGATGCAATGAGCAGCAAAGAAAGCGGGGACGGGGAAGAGGGGCTAGGGTGTAGTAGGACACAGGGATAAACACGGGCGGAAGGGAAAAGAGCACAGGTAAGGATCATGACACTTTCCATGCCGCTGATGCAAAGGAGGGAAGGGGGACGGGCAGGACAGGGGCACCTGGTGAGCGGCAAGGGGCACCTGGTGGGCGGCAAGGGGCACCTGGTGGGCGGCAAGGGGCACCTGGTGGGCGGCGAGGGGCACCTGGTGGGCGGCGAGGGCATCGGGGTCGGTGGAGTCGGAAGCAGCAGCGGCCGGCAGGGGCACAGGGCGCGCAGAGCACAGCAGCCGACGCACCTGGTGAGCGGGGGGGGTGGTGGGGGGGGGGGGGGTGGAGAAGCGGGTTGACAGGTGTTGGGGTGTGAGCTGAGTGGGGCTGGAGGAGGGGAGCAGGAGAGGAAGGAGGAGGAGGAAAACATAAGAGACAAGGAGAGAAGGCACATATGACCACCCCTCAGGTGGCATATCGGGTACAGCGATATCTCCAGCAATCATCTTTTCCCCACAGTGCCCCACTTCTGTGTGGCTCACTCGCTGGAGTGCCAACACATGTGAGAAACCACCAACTGCACTCCTCGTGCTGATGGCCAGCTGGATGCACCGCACTGTGCCACTTGTTCCCCCTCCCCCAATGCGGCCCGCGCACAGCTCACCTCAGCGAGGCGCAGGTCGCAGGGGAAGCGCAGCGCCAGCAGGGAGCGGGCGGGCGGCAGCAGCAGATGCTCCATGCCGTCCGCCACCATGCCCTCTCCCCCTGCGCCCTCCACACCCGCCCCTCCCCCTCCCACCCCAGTCGCGTCCGATGCCCCCCCCATCCCCACCCCGCTGCCTGCCCCCGCCCCTATGCCCCCCACGCCCACCCCTGAGGCGGAGGCGAGGCCTTGAGAGGCGTGGGAGCCAGGGAGGGTGAGAGAGGCGTGCAGGGCGGAGTGGGGGGACGAGGGGAAGGGGGAGAGTGGGCGCACGAGCACAGTGGGAGGGAAGGAGAAGGAGAGGGGCGAAAGGGAGTGTGGGGAGTGCAGCGGTGCAGTGGTGCGTGGTGGCGCAGTTGCAGTGGTGGTGCCTTCCCCAGCGCTGCTGAGGTGCAAGTGAGGGGAGAAGCAGCGAGGCAGCGGTGAGTGGCGGAGGGAGAAGCAGCGCAGGCAGGCGGTGGCAGTGGCAGCCAGGTCGTCCCTGCCCACCAGCACATACGCCGCTGCTGGCCAGCCAGAGGGAGGGTTTTCCCTGCACATGTGCAGTGCCTGCAACAGGGGTGGGCAGGGGTGGAGTGCGGTGGGGTGGGTGGGGGAGGGCGAGGAGAGGGTTTAGAGTATGGACGGGAATAAGGGTCAGGAAAAGAGGGAGAGCGAGGAGGAAGAAAGAAAGAAGCGATGGTGGCAACGGAAGGAGCTGACCTGCAGAAGGGGCAGGGCGACGGCAGGGGGGAGCCTCTGAAGGTCAGAGCGGCCCATGTGTGCCGCCACCATGGCTGCTACACACCGCTCACTCACCCCCGCCACGCCATCGCCCCCTGCTGCCGCCGCCGCGCCCTCGGCCCCACTCTCAGCCTCCCCTGCTCTCCCCTTCCCTCCCTTGTCAGTGCCTGCCTTCCCTCCACCTGACGCCTCCTCCCCCACCGCCGGCTTGTGCCTGGCCTTGGAGGGCGGGCGGGCAGCAAGGCGGGTCCAGACACCGCGGGGGAAGAGCAGCGAGAAGAGCGCCACCACCAGGGGCAGCAGCCCAGGCCCGCCTTCCCCCTCGCCCTCCCACTCCTCCCACCACTCGCCGCCCTCTTTTGCTCCCTGCCCTCCTCTCGCCTCTCTGCCTCTCCCCTCCCCGCCCACCTCCCCTCCCACCAGCGTGGGCAGGGCGGCAGCGGACAGCAAGGATGGCGGCATCCATGCCAGCCAAGGGGCGGCATGCTTTGGCCCGTACTGCACGGTGCGAGCCAACCAGGTGAAGACACATGGCACCACGGATGGCAGTACAGGGTGGGGGGGCAGTGCGCACTCTGACAGACTTGGGGGAAAGGAGTGTGCGAGGAGGGAGAGGGAGGGGTGGTGGCGCTGGTAGTGGTCGCACAAGTCATGCGCGCCCAGCACTGCTGCCAGCACCCACACTAGGGCTGCCAGACGGGGCAGCGAGCTGGGTGGATGGGGGGATGGGGGAACAGGAGAAGGGAAAAGGGAGCACGGTGGAGTGAGCGAATAGTAGGAGTAGATGGTGCGATGTCCAGCGATACTGCTGCCATGCTGGTGGCCATGCCATGGGGCCCACCAAGCAGCCCAACAGCATGGCAGCAGTGTCTCACATCACACCCACCCACCCACCCACCTGCGGCACAGGGCGTCAAGGCGGCTCTCCTCATACACGCCGTGCAGCGCCCGCAGCACCTCCACCAGATCCCCCTCCCCCACGCCCTCCTCACCCTGGACCCACTCTCCCCCCACCTGCACGCCCTCCCCGTGCCCCCCTCTCTCCCCTCCCCGCCCGCTGGGCGCTGCAGCAGAGCTGGCAGCAGCAGAGCGAGGAGGAGAAACATGCGCAGTACTGGGTGGTGAGGGGAGCGGGAAGGGCATCCAGGAGGGGGTGCCAGAGAGCAGCAGGTGGCGGTGGTGCTGGCTGCTCAGCAGCCCCTCCCATGCTGACTGCCCTGCCTCTCTTCCTCCTACCCCACTTGCTGCTGCTTCCCTCCCCTCTTCTCCCTGTGTCTCATTCCACCTGTCGCCCTCACCATCCACCTCCATTGCCTTCCCCCCTTGCTCACCCTCTCCCTCGCCGCCCGGCCTGCCAGTGTCAGTGCCACCACCACCCGCCACCAGCGCCGCCTCAATCCACCCCTCCACCACACCCAGCAGCGTGTGCCACTCCTCGCCCTCCCCTTCCTCTGCACCATCAGCAGCGCCACCAGCCGCGCCCACCAGCGCACACAGCTTCACAAGCTCCACCCGCCGCCCACCACCCACCCCACTGCCTCCCTCCACGCGCTTCCCCCCTCTCTCCCCCTCACTGCGCTGCTGCTGCCACTGCTGCAGCCGCCAAAGGCATGGGGCGAGCAGGGCGCAGCGCAGCTCATGGGAGAGGCGGCGAGGGAAGGGGCTTGCACGAATGGCAGCGAGACACCTGGCAGGCAGGTGGGCAGCGACTGCTAGCTTGACTTGGAAGCGATGCTCCTGATGGCGCGGTGGAGTGGGGAGAAGAGACGAGGAGAGAGGATAGAGTGTGGAGGGAGATGAACAGGTGAGGAGGTGAGGAGATGGGTGAGGAGGTGACGAGGTGAGATGTGAAGAAAACGTTAGGAGATGAGGAGGAAATAGAGTGGAGGCGACAAAGAGAAGAGCGAGAGAGATCGGGGCGAGCGATTGGGAGTGTAAAGGCAGGGGGAGGGGAGGAAGGGTCACCTGGTTGTTGGGGAGAACAACGGACACACGGTCGCCCAGGGCAGCACACAGGCGCAGGGGACACGTGGCGAGCTCTGATTGGTTTACGTGGATGCCATGGTGGGCGAGGAAGGTGGTGCAGGGCGCCCGCCAGAGCAGCAGCGGGCCGTGCTGGTGGGGGGGGATGAATAGGTGACAGCAAAGAGTTGAGGTGAGGGGATGAAAGGCACACAGCCGTCCGTGAACGAAGAAGGTCTAGGGGTGGGGAGCCGCCGTTGTGCGTTGCCATGCATGCATTGCCATAAGGACGCGTTGTTGCCCTTGAGTAGCATTTGGCACGGTGCTACAGGGCACCTCTTGCTACTTACCATGCCATGCTGTCAGTCCATTTTGAGGTGCCTGTGACGCGCCCCTGTGATACATTGAGTGGTGCGTGTGTGGTACGAGGCAGTGGAAGCAAGGCGGCTGTGACGACCCACCATCAGCGTGAGCGAGCCATGCCGGTCCACAACCAGGAGAAAGCGATTGATGCAGTGCAGAGTGGTGCTGGGAGCTGTGTGGCTGGGATGAGAAGGGTAGCACGTGCGTGGGTGCACGATGAATGGCGCATGGAGCAGTGGGGAGAGAGAAGGGGGGAGAGAAGGGGGGAGAGAAGGGGGGAGAGATGGAGGCGTTCAATCGTGCAGCACACGGCGCAACGAGCCTGCAAGGCATGAGCGCAGCTCACAAGTGGCATGCTTCATGCAGCTGCGCTGCGGCATGGGAAGGGTCTTGGCTGGTGGCAGTGGCACGTGGATAGTGGAGCAAGCGGCCGTCCAATTCCCCCCGTGGACTTGAACTCGTTTCAAGGAGTCTCGATACAAGACAGCATCCAAGTTTCACAAATGCTACATGCAGGAAGGAAGGTGAGGCTGATGGGTGCAGAAAGCAACAAGTTGATATACCTGGCTATTCGGCCACCCAGTGGTGAACAAGTGCAGAGTGCGGAGTGCAGAGTGACTCACCTCAGAGTCACAGCGGAGACAGCCTCCACCGACCAGCAGCGCCGCCCTTCCATGTGCACCACCCTCCCCCTGCCCTCATCCCCGCCTCCCCCACTCCCCCCTTCCCCATCGGCCCTGCTCTCCTCCTCCTCCGCCTCCCCTTCGCCCTGACCGTCCCCTGCCCCCCCACACGCCACGTGTCGCACCCACACGCGCTGGCGGGCAGGCAAGCAGAAGGCAAGAGTGGCAGAGCCAGGGGGGGGCGACGGGCTGAGGAGAGGCCTGACGGTGAGAGGGAGGGACGTGCGGTGGGGGCAGGAAGAGGAGAGGCCGGGGGGAGAGGAGGATAAGGGGGTGTGGGAGAGCAGCAGCACGTTGGAGGCCTTGTCCTGGCCTGTAAGCCCCGTCCACACACGTGTCATGCGCACACACCACCCTCCGCCCTCTCCCTCCGCATCCCACCTCTCACCTCCCATCCTTGCCTCCCCACCACCCCCGCCCCTCTCGCCCGCCCCTCCCCCCACCGTCTGCCCCTCCATGCTCCCCCGAGCACTCCCAGCCTGTCCACCTGCTGCTCTCCCCCTCCTACCTCCACCAGGCCCCACATCCCCCCCAACCCCCGCGAAGCGACTCAGCTTCGCCGCTGCTGCCACGCCTTCCGCGCCTCCTCTTCCCCCTCCCCGCCCCCGCCTGTCCCCACTGCCCACACTCCCCCCCACATCCCCTCGCCCCGCCTGCAGCCTCAGATCGCCCACCATGCCTGCATCCCCACCCACACCCCCCCGTCTCCCTGCCACCACACCCTCCTGGCCCCCTGCCCTCAACCCCCCCGCCCTCCCAGCAGCTGTTGCAGGAGACATGGGGCTCAGCCCGGCAAGTAGTGGGTCCTGCTCTGCGGCTGACGTGGCGTCAGGTGATTGGTGCAGGAAGCGGTGTGGGAGGTAGCGCAGGTGCCACACGGAGTGCTGGCGGCGGGCTGAGGGAGGAAGGGTTGTGGTGTGAGCAAAGGGGGAAGGCGGAGAGTAGATGGGCCACTTGAGCATGGATTGTTGCATAAGATTGGTGAGAGGATGGACGTTGGGAAGTGAAGCAATGGTTGGAGTGAACATGATGGTCGACCGCTGCCTCGCCTACCTTGCTGACACCCGCGACACCGCCTTGGAGTTCGGCGGTGGACCAGAGTCGCTGGAGCTGATCGGCTACGTGGACGCCGACGACGCGGGCGACAAGCAGAAGGGGTCCGTCGACCAAGGGGTAGCTTGACGGGAGCTGTGGTCGACCAGGGGCACCTGGTGGTCGACCAGAAGGACTTAGAGGTCGACCAGAGCACATGGGGTTGTCCAGGTCGACCGGGTAACCTGCTCGGCGAGTTCTGCGGAGGCATGCAAACGTCGTCGAGGTCGCGATGGCGAAGGCGACTTTGGATTGGTATCCTGAAGTCGATGTGGATCGTCAGGCGCAGACAACAGCCGACGGATTCACAACGGTGCAAGCCGGACTTCTACGGGGCAACGCTCTACCACAGCGTTGGCACACCGTCGACCTGCTGTGTTGGCAGGTCGCCTTTCTGCAGTGCTGGCGCGGCTCCTCTACGCAACGCTGGCAGGCGGTCGACCATGCTGTGCTGTCTGTCGACCAGGCTAGCTGCAGAGTTGCTAGGTGCCTGATGTATTCATTGTTGTCATTGCTTCTAAAACAATCCTCTAATTCCAACTTTGCTAGTGGAAACTCTTGCCAATTTCCCCCGTGATTGTGCAAGCACTAAGGAACTAGGCAAAGCTTCGATCACTCCCATTAGTTCGTGCCAACCCCTGTAGTCGAGCTCACTACCGTTGTAGAGTGAATCTCCGCATGGCTGACGTCGGTGACGGTGATGATGCAGCCGTAGGTGCCGTGCCCTTCTGCACGACTTGTGCGATGATGGCATGCTATGTGTTGTGTGCACGCTGACTACAAATTTCCCCGTGTATTCTATCCCTTGGGTTCTGGGTGGACCTTGTGCATAGGGTGCCCAAGCGTCAGCGCGGCAGGGGAGTGTTGAAGGAAGTTGGCTCGCCCTCACTTGGGCGAAGCTGACTTCGTGGTCGGGTGCAGTGGACCATCTGCAGAGGGTGGCATCGACCTTGTGGCCGTGGGCACGGGAGGTGCAGCCGACCGTCCGCAGAGGCCGACACCAGCCTGGGCATGCAGGTCGTTGAAGGTGGTCGTCGACCTGTGTGGAACCACTATGACATCGTCGACGACGGTGGTCGACGAAGCAGTTCAACAAGGATGGTCGACAAAGCCTTTCGACGACTGGGGTGGGCATCGAAGGTCGTCGACCCGCGACGACGAAGGTCGTCGACCCGCGACGATGAAGGTCATCGACCTGCAGTGTTGCCGGGGACTTTACCCGGTCGACCGAGTTACCTGCTCGACGAGGTTTTGCGGAGGCTCACGGAAATCGTCGATGTTGCTGTGGAGATGTCGACCAACGTGGCAGCACGTGGTCGACGTGACTAGTCTGGTGCAACTGCCTACATGTTGCCGACCTGGCATATGCGCAATGTGCGCGACAGTGCACGTTGTGCGTAACAATCTACAAGCACCTACGAGTAGGTGCTTGCACATGCGCTTACAATCACCTGCAGATGCAGCGCTAGCAGGCCGTGCGGGTGCAGCGTTGGCAAGCCGCGCGGGTGCAGTGTTGCCAGGTTGCCATTCTGTAGCGTTGGCAAGTCGCACATAAGCTGTGTTGGCAGACCGCGAAGTTGCTATGTTGGCAGGTCGACGACTTTGTCGTGCTGGCGGTCAACCTGCCTGTACACTAGCTAACCTTGCATCTGATGTAGTCATTCTTGCCATTGTTAGTTCATTCGGTATTCTCATCTTTTCTTAGTGAAACTTTTGCTCCTTTTTGCCCTCTAAACGCACAAGTGCTAGAGAACACATACAGAGCTACAATCACTCTCACAATTCGTGCCTACCCCATAGTCTAGCTCCCACCATTGTAGAGTGTGTCTCTGCAGTACACTCATCATGAGTATCTTCGAAGCCATCCCTCTCAGCTGGTGGGCTACCCTTAGGAGCCCCGAGCAGGATGTACCTCGCGGTCGATGATTGGGCCTTGGAGTTTAACAAGACGTACCTTCCCAACAGAATCTTCCGTGTCTCCCTCCTTCCCGGCTTCAAAGCGCGGGTCAGCATTTTTTCGTGTTCATCAAGGGAGACAGGTTGCGTCTGAGAGCGATGGCTGCTACACTATTGCCTTCAGAGACGTGATTCCTGTTCTCGTAAAAGGGCTGGCTGACCCTTTTGATTCCGGACCCGCCCTCGGCTTGCATCACGAACTTTTTGCCGCCTCTCCCTCGCTCTCGGACATCAGGAACCTGATCTACCAACCTCTGCCTCTCAACCACCTGGAGCAATGGAACATTATCGTACGAGACCCCATCCCCTTCCTCCCGGGCTATCATCACTCGTTCCTTAAGGACCAACCCTCACGACACCGCAACATTCAGTTCCGCCTCTTCACCCTCACGCTTCCGTCTGGCTCCAGATATCGTTTCACAACGTCTGACGGCGTTTGTCCCCGTTGCGGGCCTCCCATGATTGAAGACCTACCTCATATGTTCTTCGACTGTGGGCATGCGCCTGTAGTAGTCGAGTCAATTTGGCGCGTTGCTTCTCGACATCTTAACACAACGGTCGAACCCGCGGCTGTTTTCTTTCCGCTTCCTCAACCGTCCAACCTCATCGCTCCATGGTGTCTGCTCATCGGGGCAGCTGCCACAGTTCTTTGGAGGGACTGCTGTTCCTTTCACTATGAGCAAACTTCGTATACACGCCTTGAGACTCTCCACCGTATTTTAGCCCTCTTCCTGACTGCGTGTAAAATCTACTTCAGCCGTCGCTCCAAATGACCTGACAAGAAAAGCGCGCCACGAATAATCGAGTCAAAGCTGCCACTGTGTTACGACTCCTCATGTTTGGGCCTGACGGAACCCCGCAACTGCATCCAACTCTGCCTGAATCCTAGATGCTGAACGATACATTTCATACCCCGTAGAAGCTGTTGGAACTTAGTTGTACAACCCGATAAAGGCTTTGGCCTTCATTCTATCTTTTGATAGTCAAGTAACGCTGTTCTAGTGTAGGTCTCCTATACATTGGCTTTAAGCCATGCTTGTGGAGTTGTACTGTTATGATTTGTACAGAACGGATTGCGCGGAAGACTTTATAAAAAGGATTGTGATTACAGAATGAAGAAACAATGAAGAAAGCGAGCAAATATAGGGTGAAAACTAGCTAGGCGAGGACCTCGTGACGTGCGTGGGTTGGAAGTGTCGCGATTGGTGCGGGGCGACTCGGAACTGGTTCGGGGCGAAAGTGTAGGCCGAGCCACATTGAAACGAAGTGCTCGGAACATGGGAAAATATGCCACAAGTAACCAACTTGGAACTCGATAACGTGAATGGTAAAAAAAAAACGTGTACGGTCACTGTATCGGGTTTTCTGACGGGTTTGGTAAGCGGGGTCACGGATTCAGTCACTAACAACAGGTAAAAAATCACGCGAATGGTCACACATGTAACTCCCGCCAAAAAAACTTGAAACTCAACAAAATTCCCGCTCGCGCCCAACCAATCTGCGAACTTGTAAAAAAACTAAAACCCAATCGGAATCGGATGCGGTTTGGGAACGGATCAACCCTAAACACCTGGCGAGTTCCGTGTTTAGGGTTGATCATCCGAAAATGCATCCAGGTTCTTTCTGGGTTTCATTTTGTTTTGGCGGGAGTTTCATCTGTGACCATTCGCGTTTTTTTTTACCAGCTGATTGTGACTGATTCCGTGAAACGCTTTATCAGTCGCGTGAAAACACCCTTTGCAGTGACCGTACTCTTTATTTTTTTACCAAAAATGTTTTCGAGTCCCATGATGGTTACGAACGGCATATTTTCCCTCGGAACATCCCCACTAAGGAGAGTTCTACAGTAATGAATTGTATATTCATTACACTCTCCCACCTTCTAAATATGGTCCCCTTATACGTAAAGTCTTGCAGTAGCGTCAAAACTGCGGATCTTGGTTGAAGGCGGATCCAACGGCTCGGAAGGCGTTGACTGTCGAACTGACATGTGCTGACTAGTTGACCAGGCGAATTAGAAAAGAGTTGGAATGTCAGCCGTTTATATTTGCAGATGTCAATTGGATGATTGGATGATTGTCATCGATCTGGGATTGAATGAAGACCGCCGATGTGTTGGATGTGAAACGGACGGTGAAGATGCATGCGATGTTGGCGGGAATCCTGACGGGCGTTCGGTGTTGGTGAATCAGGAGCCGCCAATGTCGATGGAGCAATTGCGAGCGTCCGTCGTGCTATCAGAGTCTTACGAAAATGTAAGAAAACTGCGAAGTGATAACACTCTCCCACCCCCCCCCCCCCCCCCCCCCCCCCCCCTTTTGAAGAAAAGGGTAGTCCACCAATTAGTATAGCTGCGCGTCCACAAAATTCCAACCATCCTGTCCCACGAGGGTCCCCCTAAATACCAAGTGTTATGAACCCCGTCTGAAGCTGCACAGTCGGAAATGTTGTCGGTGGCGGAATATCGCTGCTGTGACGCTTAAGAAAACTCCCAGAGTTAACTGCGTCGATGTCCCCAGAAAGTATCATTTTGCGTCGGGACTCGACTGCAACCCTTCGTAATAATTTTCGTGAGGAAAACTTTCTCTTTGTCTTGTAGCCGCTACTGCTGCTGCAGCATTCCAGCTTGCAGAATTAAATCTCCCGATTGCTGCAGCATCACCAGCTGTCAGCAACTGTCACCCGAAATAACTTCACTTTGTCGTTAGGGCGCGCGTGACATATTTTGTCGGTAGTGGAGGTGAGTATGACCATCCCGAAAATCTCGAACATGACTCCGGATCACTGTTACTCGTCGCCGAAAAGTCGTAGCCAAGTTGGCGAAATCGTTATAGCGCATTGGCGATGATCGGCGAGAAGGTCGAGTCACGTAACTGACCGGTGGTTAGGCTGTAAAACTCCGTCGAACCCTCAAACTCATGTTTTGATGACGTCAGTACCACCGGCGACATCGTCGTAACTCTCCGAGCCTTTTGTTGCG